AAAGTCCTACGGTTTCTTTCACAAACCCAGGCTCAGAGAAAGCCTAATGACTGATGTCCAGGGTCCCACAGCAATACGTATGAGAAGCAGGCTTGAACTCCAGGCAGCTTGTGGCCCAGGCCTGCTCTGAGCCCACTCTGCCTCTCAAATCCATCCAACAGGGAGAATCACTCAGAGGACACAAGAAAGCAGGAGTCCTGGATTCCCATTCCAGCTTTCACTGCTTAGCTATGTAACCTGCATAATCCCAGGGTCTCGGCTTCATTTGGGTAAAACAGGAAGGAAGAGGGGAAAAAAGCATCACCTCCTAGACTTTGAAACTTGACTCTGCACCTGCCCTCAGTCAGAGTCCAAGCAAAATTGGGTCCAGCACTCCTCAATGTCACCAAAAGCCCCCGTGCAGTGTCTTAGGCCTATTTTTCTTTCTGTCCTCAACAAAGATCAAGGGAGGTAACGGCTATGTTGTCAAAAATTATTCAAAGTCAAAAAGAAGGTAAGACTCCAGTTCTAGGCCATTTTGAAAGGCCAGCAGGGTTTCACACTCTAATATGGAATCATAACAATCTTAGAACTTCCTATAATATAGACTTAACATTTCTTTGGTACTTTATGGCTACAAAACATTTTCCGTAATTTAACCCTTAAATCTTACTTCGAGAATTCAGGGCTCCCTCACTTATGGCATTTTTCCTAGGGCCCACTGCAAATTTTAACTAAGCTTACTTTACATATTAATACCTGTTCATAATCTAATATAATACTTGGAAGTAGTAAAGCTGCTTGCAAACATTCTGCGCTGTGAGTTTTCACTAACTTAGAAAGGTCTCTTCAGCTTTAGGTCAACAAGTTATTGACTACACATTTTCAGGAAGCTTAGTGGGCTATGTAAGTATATTTGAAAAGTTTCTTCCCTCCCCAATCCATCCTCCTCACAGCTGCCAAAATGATTCTCCTCCTTTATGGGAGGGAGGGAATATAGCACCTCCTGTGCCAGGCACCATGCCAAGTACTTTACAAATATTATTTCATTTGATCCTTACACCAGCCCTAGGAGGGAGGTGCTGTTACTCTGCCCACTTCACAGTTTAGGAAACTGAGACAAACAGAGGTTATGAGCCCTACTCCAGGCCCAGTGCTCTACGACTACATTGCTTAGCTTCTGCCTTGTGGCCACCACACCCCTCTTCTGCTATATTCCACTGTCTCCCTACCACTTCTAGGACCAGACATAAGCTCTCTCTTTTTTGGCATGCAAAGCCCTTCACAATCTGACTCCCACCTGCCTTTGCAGCATTATACAGTACTCCTCACAATGCTCCTCAAAGATTTCCAGCCTCAGTAGCTCTGAAATGAAGGCATATCCCTCCCCACCTTTGCCACTTAGAATCCCTGGTTTCCTTGGGATGAGGCTTAAAGGATACCTTCCTCATGAAGCCTCAGCTGATTTCCCCCTCCACCCCCAACAACATTGCATTCATTCTGTATGAATTGTTTATGCATGTATAGTTTATACATCCACATGTGTTGTCTCCTCCCTTAGAATGGAGGCTCTTCTGAGGTCAAGAATTGTTTCACTTGTCTTTGTGCCCTCTTGCTTAGCACAGAGCTTAGCACTCTTTAAGAGTTATACTATCATCAAAACCATCTGGTATAGGCTAAGCAGAGAGACAGACCAATGGAATAAACTAGAGAAGGGAGATTGAGAAACAGAACTCAATAACCTGCTGCTTGATAAAGTAGAAAACAAATTATGAGGGGAAAAAAACCTCCTTATTCAATAAAAACTGCTGGGAAAACTGGTAAGCAGTCTGGCAGAAAATAGGCTTACACCAACACCTTAACCAGTATATTCCACAATACACTCTAAATGGATATGTGACCTTAATATTAAAGATCATACCATAAAAAATTTAGAAGAGAAACAGATCATATACCTTTCACAGCTATAGGTTAGGAGATGTGTTCTTAACCAAATGAGAGATAAAAGCAATTACAAAAGATAAAATGGGTAACTGATTACTTGAAACAAAGTTTCTGCACAGACAATATTAATTCATCCAGGATAAGAAGGGAAGTGGTCAAATGGGAAAAAAAGTTTGTCTCAGTTTTCCTGGATAAAGGTTTGATATCCAAAATAAACAAATAACTAACAAATAAAAACAAATGTATGTGTATAATGTATATACAAAACTAATAGCCATTCCCCAGTAGACAAGTGGTCAAAGGATAAAAACAAACACTTCTCAAAAGAATTACAAAGTATTAATAACCACATGAAAAAAAAGTTCCAAATCATTAATAAAAGAAATGCAAATCAAAACAACCCTGAACTTTCAACTTACACTCTGCAAATTGGCAAAAATGGCAACAGTGAATCACTTTTGGAGGGGTTATGGGAAGGCAGGCACACTAATACATTGTTGGTGGAGCTGTGAAGTCATCCAACCATTTTGGAAAGCAATTTAGAATTACACAACTAAAAGGACTAAAATGTCAACACCCTTTGAACCAGAGATCCCCTTACTGGACTTACACCCCAAGGAAGCCATCCAGTAGGACAAAAAAAGTCCCCATATACTTCAGAATATTTATAGCATCACTTTTTTCCTAATGGTTAAGAATTAGAAACAAAGTAGGGGCCATCAGCTGAAGAATGGGCAACCATACCGTGGTACATGAATGTAATAGAATCTTACTGTGCTGTAAGAAATGTGTGATGACTGCAGAGAGGCAAGGTAACATCAACATGAACTGATAAGCCAAGAAAACCACATACTCAATGACCACAACAATGTAGATGGAAAGAGCCACATATTGAAAAAACAAAGGTAAATGTGACAAAACTATAAAAATCAAGCAAGACCTGAATGAAGAGGGACAAGACACCCACCCAATACCCCCTCCTGGAAGCAGAGTGTCCACAAATGGCACACATTATGAGTATATTTGAACTTCTTCAAGGTATCGATTGTGTTGACTTTTTTTTTTCTTCTCTAAAAAAAATATTGTCATATTGGATGGCTCTCTTGGAGGGAGAGGGGGTGGGGTAATTATGGTGATGTAAGAAAAAAGTCAATACAAACTTAAAAGAATAAAAAGAGAGCTATGATAAATGCTTGGTGTTTGATTATCTGATTACCAGTTCAATTAAATGATCAGTAAAATTCCATTATATCAAATACTGTTACAAATGCATTATATCAAATTACTATTAAAGGACGACTTATCTATAATGAACACCTTCCAAGACATGGGAGCAACATTTTGCTGACCTAGTTCCACCAATAATCCTTTAGCAAGTAGGATGGATCACTTTTTCAGGGGCTCTTTCATTTTCCAAGTCATTCTTAAAATAAAAGTTACCCCAAGAATTCTATCTGCCCTACACAAGCAGCCATTCAAGTTCCTGACTGAGAGTAATCACAATTCCCTGTCTAACCCCAATTACCCAAAAGTCCCATACAAGGAGAAAAGGGGCGGTCATCTGCCTTGACGGTTCCCCAGTCAAGTTTGTTCAGTACCCTCTTTTTAAATCCTCCAATTTTGTTACATTTCTAGCTTTTGACTGGGAATGTAACTTATGTCTATTAAACCACTCCAGCTACAGGTGGAATTGTCATAATAGTATCTCTCCAATCAGAAACAACAAACTTGAACAAAGATTCATTGGGTCAAACTACTGTCCTTTTAAACTCCTTTACACCTACAACTTTTGACAGAAACACAGCGATTGTCAATTTCATCTACTATCCACAACTCCAGGGTTTTTTTTTAAGTGCTCACTGTCTTTCTTTCTGGGTGTAATACTTTTGCATTATTTTTTATTGTAATTAAATTATGGGAATAGCCACCGTTGCGCCAGAGACGTTTGTTGTGGTCAAACACATTTTCTTTTTCAAGAAAAAAATGACAAGAATATATCCCAAGCCCAGAAAGTCACAAGATTTCATTTATACAGAAAAAAAATTTCATAATCATTCTATTTAGAATGAGAAATACCAGGACTGGGCTCAGCACTTCCCTTTCCAACTACACTAATTTGAAAACTGAAACCGAAAACCAGCTCCATACTAACCTCTTGTGTATATTACAAATAAATGCAACAGGTTTTAAAGATTCTTTTCTTATTTCCCCCACAATCTCTGGCACATTTCTTGAACGGAGACATCATGCATATTTGTATTTAACACATTTTGTGACAACACCAAGAATTTGCTCTAACGGTGGTTCCAAACATGGTTTCAATGGCTTTGTCGTTTTGAGACGGAGCAGAAGACCGTAAAAGGCTATAGACAATTGATATTCCATTTTCCAAAAAAGTATCATCCCCTAACTTTAAAGTATTCCCATTCCTACTTAGGGCACCTAAGCCGCCCTGCCAAGCTTCCTTTTTACACACTAGCTTTTCCTGTACACCAACCATTCTCCTGTGTCCTTTTTAAAATAACATCTTGGTCAAAGGGATTTCAAGAATTTTGTTTTCAAAACGTTCCGAGATGTGGAAAGGAGCAGATTCATATTAACTAGTATTGTGCTCGAGGTAAAAAGAAAAGCAATAAATACATCATCCATTAAACTCTAAATTACACGAGTAGGTATAAATACAGGGGGGGAATCATCTACCCCAAGTCCTGTCCCAGCAGGGACGGCCCCCGCCTAGCTTCCGTAAGCCACACAGCCCGAATCACCAGGTGGGTCCATTTTCCCACGCTTGGGGGTCTAGGGGTAAAGTCACTTCGTGATCCTCCCCTCCCCCGCCCCCAATTTCCTCGTCAAGTGCATCTGCATTGTCCGGCGATCCCTAAATATCTCCCTGCACGTGACACTGGTAGGAAAAGTGCCAAAGTTCCGACAGCAGGAAGCTTCGGGGGCAGAGCCCTGGGAAGGCAGCCCCGGGTCACAATCGCGCCCCTGCCGGACTGTCCGAGCTGGGGGCCGGGTGGGGGGAGGCCGAGGCTGGGGGTCAAGGCCAAGGGCGCGCACGTGCCCAGCCGACTCACCTCCGAACATGTGCGGGGAGAGGTGCGCCGGTAGAGAGCCGATCACGAGGCGGGGCCCGCCGGCGGCCGAGCGGCCCTCGTCGGGGGTGCTGTTCACCGAGTCCTGCGAGCCGTACGGGCCGCTGCTGCTGCTACTGCTGGGGATGTGGAAGGCGGACTGCGCCGCCCGGGCCCCGCCGCCACCTCCTCCTCCTCCTCCACCGCTGCCCCCGCCGCCGCCGCCCACGGATCGGGCGCCCCCCCGGGGTCCCGCGGCCGGGCCCGAGGCGGCCGGAGCCGGGGCCGGGGCGGGGGCGGCGGCCGAGCCCGAGGCGGCCGACCCGGGGGCCGGGGGCGCGGGCGCGCGGGCCCGCACCGCGCCGCCGGCCGAGGGCAGGTCAGAGCCCGAGTAGGCGCGGGCACGGCCGTTGGCGGCGGCGCTCTGCTTGGCGCCCATAGCCGCGCCGGGCCGGGGCCGGAGCCTCAGGTGGGCCGGAGCCGCCGCGCCCAGGAGCCGCCGGGGCCGCCGCTAGGTGAGGCCGCTGTCCCCTCCCCGGGCCTCGGCACCGCCTCCTCCTCGACTGGGACTGGGACCAAGAGCGCCGCCGCCTCCGCCTCCGCTGCTGCTCCCGCTGTCGCCGCCGCTGCTGCTGCCTCCGCCACCAGCGCCCGCCGCCGCCGCCATTCTCCGCGGCCGCCGCCTCCTCCTTCTGTAGCCTCCGCCGCCCCAGGCCTGGGGGGAGGCGCCCGCCCGCCCGCTGCCGCCGCTGCCGCCGCCGCCGGGCCGCCTGCCCCCCGCCCCAGGCTCCGCCCCCTCCGGAGCGACGCCCCGCCCCCCGACGGCCGCCTCCTCGAGACTCCCGGCAACCGCCGCCGCGCCCCCAGTAACGTGCCGCCGCCGGGGCCAAGTGCGAGGGCGGAGGAGGGGGGCGCCGCCGGCCGCGGGGGCGCGGGAGAGCCCCGGGCAGGACAAATGTAGGGCCGTCCTGGCCGTCGCCGGCTGTGGACATTCCTCCTCTTTGCGGGTCGCAGTTCACCACCCCCTTACACCCCTTCCTCCAACACATTGATTTCCGCGCCCCAGACTTCCCGCCCCTCTGCTAAGCTAAGGTACAGTCCGCTCAGGAGGAGCTGCTGCTGGCTGAGCAGGAGATGGACACGCCACTGCCCCGCCCCTTTCCCCGGCCTTTCCACCCCGGGCCAGGCCGAGTCTAGTACAATCCGCCCCCGAGGGCACGCCGGGGGCAGGGTGGGATGACGGACAGGCCTATGGCCCCGCCCCCTGCTCTCCAAGGTGAGCGGTCCTCGGGCGCAGCCCCCGCCCCTTCCGCGGGCCGAACGCTGATTGGCCGGTGGGCGCAGCCCGTCTGAGGCCCGCCCACAACTGGAAGCGCCCTCCCTTCGGGCCCCCTGCGGCGAGCATGCGGTCCCTGGTTGGGGAGGCTGCTTCTGGGAATTGCTTTGTGTGTTTTGTGGAGAGTGTGGGGGATGGCTGTTAGGCCATCGGGAATCCCCCAGCCCTCGGGGGAACGTTGGCCCTAGGAAGTCGCAGCATCAGCTTGGCGGTAGCGGTGTGACCTTGGGCGAGCCTGACCTCCAATCTATTCTGTCCCTAGCTTGTTTTGTCTCCCCCGTTAGACTGGGAGCTCCTTGAGGACAGGGACTGAGCTTTGCAGTGCCAGGTAAATAGTAGGTGTCTAATGAATGCTTATTGACTGACCGAGTCGCGTAATCTCACTTGTAAAATAAGGAGGTTGGGCTAAATGAACACCCAAATCGCTGAGACTCCTGTGCAGTCTGGCTTCCAGGGCCATGAGGTCTACCCCTGTGCCTGAAGCTTGAATCTATAATACGTGGCCATTCTGGGAGGGGAGCAGACCGTAGTACCACCTTTTCCATTCTGTTTAATTAAAATTATTTAATTAAAATATGCACTTAATAAGTGCCAGGCACTGTGCATAAGCCCTGTGTTATTTTACAGATGAAAATAACATTTTATGGAGACTCCAGAAATTGGAATCCTGAGGATTGACTACCCTACCAAATCTAAATCTGCCTCTGGGCAACTTTCACTCAAAGCTCCTAGCTCTGTCCTTTGGGGCCAAGGAGGACAAATAGAATCTGTCTTCCAAACAAACAAAAAAAAAGGTCTTCCAAATACTTGAAACAAGCTATTTCTTCTCTTCTAAATTTTCTCTTGCCTAGGCAAAGCATATCCACTTCCTTCTACCTGCCCTTTGAGGGCCTGATCTTCAGCTCCTTCACCACCCTGGTCTCTGTCAATCCTCTTCTAAAAATCCTAGGCCCAGACCTGAGCACAGTCCAGCAGTCTGATCTGGGCAGATCTTTAAAATGTTTAAAATGTTCTTCTGCCTCCACTGTCATGAATGTTACTCAAAGTATTTCCTTTAAATGCTAATGAAAAGTTCACCAGCACAAAGAACAGCAAACTCACTGACTGCAGATACCGGAGCCACATAATCATTTCAGAGAGGATGGAGGTCAGATTCAGACCTAGACAGCCAGAAAGGGACAACCTCTAGGGATCCTGGGATCACCCCTGGGGGAAGCATGGTGAATCCAGACTGGCATAGTTGCAAAATTAGGCATGGGGACACCAGGTTCTCACCTTAGTGTGCCCCTTAAAATTTGCTTTGTGACCTTGGGCAAGTCATTTGTTTGAAGACTTTAGTTTTCTCCTCTGTAAAATGAGAAAGCTAAACTGGGTGGGCCCTGATATCACACCCACCTATTAGTTTAGTGCCTGGCACCTAATTGGCACTTCATAAATGCATTGCCTTGCCTGTGATTTCTAAAGCATGTATTCAACTCAACAAACATTCAGTAAGTACAAGTTCTTTCTTGGACCACTACGAAGACGAAAAGACAAACAGTCCTCTTTCCAAGAACCTTGCAATCTGCTAACTCAGCCAATGCAAGACAATTTAGGTAGGGAGAGAGCACTTAACGACTAAGGAATTACAGCAAAAGCTCCCTTTAGGATGAAGGAAAATGTATCACTTTATTTTCACTAATCTTTAACTGAAAGTTAGCATTTCTGCAATTCTAAGAAGGGGCCCTTAGGCTTCCACACATGGCCCCAGGGGTCTGTAATGTGCACACACATGTGACAAAATCTCTGCTATAGGTAATGACATGTGGGTTGAGCAATGAAGAAAGTTGAGGCCAAAATGCATTTAAGGCATAAAGACAAAGGTAGGAGATGGGGTGCTGAGTTAGCTGGGGGTGGAGTGCAGCTAGCAGTTTGTCAGGAGAAGAGGGAGGAATAAGGAAATTCATCTGGAAAGGAAGGCTACCTTTGCAGTCATGGTTCCTATTTCTTTGCTTTCCCATATTCTTCTCCAATTAAACCAACCTGCTAGCTAGCTGTTCCCTGTCACATAACTCCGCCTCCATGTCTTTGCCCAGGTCATGCCCTAACCTGCAATGTACCACTTCCTCTCCTTACCCTGGAAGGATCATTTCTTCCTAGGCACAGCTAAGGTCCCTGATCCTTGGCTGGGTGGTGCTTTCGCTCTCCAACTTTGTATCCAGGTGTAAGTAACTTTGTATTTACTTTTCTGGGTAGATGCCCTATTTCCCATATGAATGTATTCAAGGGCAGCTACTGTTTCATTTTGATATGTGTCCTGTTATGCCTTGGCCCTGGGAGGCTTGTTGAATAGAATTGGAATGATTAGGAGGCTTAGAGAGTTAATTCATTTCGTGTACATAGAGGATTACACACGTGGGGCATATAGAGATTATCTAGGCCAGTTTCACAGTGTGGTTGCCAAAATCTAGTACTGATTCAACAAATTTTGCTTTTGGGGAATATGACCCCAGTGGTTGGCTAACCTAGTTCTGGAAGAAACACAAATGTGAATTCTACAGTCAGTATTGGTGAATGGGGGGGAATGCAAATTCACTCAACCCACCTTATCTGACCGTCCTCAGGCCATGCTTCACATCCCAGCCCAGCCACTCCAGAGCTGCCTACCTCTGCTCTCCATCCCTGATTCTGGGGACAGTAATCAAAAAATGCTTAGCACTTAGTCTGACACAGAAAGGGCTGCTTAAAATATGCTAAGGGACTGACTGAGGAGACTACCATTGCTTTAGGAAAGATGTGACAGCTCCCACTTAGGGCTTCTCACTGTCCCTGTGATTCACCAGACCACACCTCTTTTCCCTGCCTACCCCTTCCTAATAGAATGTTGGCACTCCCATTAGAATATAAACTACTGGAGGGCAAGGGACTTTTCTCATTTGACTAGTTATATCCCCAGTGCTTAGCATCATTACATTATCATTGCTGTTACTATGTACAATGTTCTCCTGTTTCTGGTCACTTCCCTTTGCATCAGTTCATATATGTCTTCCCAGATTTTTCTGAAACCATTCTGCTTGTTGTTTCTTATAGCACAATAGTATTCCATCACAATTATATACCACAGATTGTTCAGCTATTCCCCAGTCAGTGCACATCCTTTAATTTCCAATTCTTTGCCACCACAAAAAGAGCCAATATAAATATTTTTTGTACAAATAGGTCCTTTTCCCTGTGTGTGTGTGTGTGTGTGTGTGTGTGTGTGTATGTGTGTGTGTGTGTGTGTGTGTGTTTTAAATCTCTTTGGGATACAGACCTAGTAGTGATATTGCTAGGTCAAAAACTATGTATAGTTTTATAGTCCTTTGGGCATAGTTCCAAATTGTTCTCCAGAATGGTTAGACAAGTAATGAACATTTATTAAGCACTTACTATTTGTCCGGTTCTTTGCTAAGATGTTCCAGGCATTCCAATTCAATTCAGTTTAAAGGTAATGCAAAGGCATATGCTCAGGAGGTGATTGAAGGCAGGAAGGAAAGAAAGAAGGAAGGAATATAACAAGTAGTAGGAAGAGGCAAGATTTAATTTGGTTGGTTTCTCATAGATCAGATCATAACCCTTCTAAATGAAAGAAATAAGATTAGAAAGAACCTGGTCAATTTAGCTTGGTGGGATAGTGCATGTAGGTTGAGTCAGGAAGACCTTAGTGGAAGTGCTGGAGCAGACACAAGTTCATGTGACCTCTCAGACTCGGATTCCTCATCATTAAAATGGGGATAATAATAGCCCCTACCTCACAGGGTGGTTGTGGGGATCAAACGAGATACAATGCTAGTTATTATTATTAGAAGGTAAAGCCTTTGTTCTAGCTTCAAAGAGGCTTAGAGTGGAAGATGTGGACATCCCCAGTGAAACACTAGAAGGACTTTTATCAAAGTCTTTAGCACACAGAGGACAAGGAACCTCTTCATGCCATGATTTGGAGATGTGATCAAAATCGCTAGGTAGCAAAGAGATGTCTTTAAAGCTAGAACAAAGGACTTCTATCTGACTTTGTTAACTTGACCTGGTTCCTTTTGTTCATACACTTTGCATAGTATTTATGAGGCATGGAGCCCTGTACATTGCATTGCCTGTGAACTTCTTGCAGAGCTAAGCTGGTCTGCAGATGACAATAGCCAGATCCCCTCTCAGACCCTTTTCCCTTAGTTAACCCAGGCAGGAATCACAGTAATACCAAGATGAAGCCTGGGAAGAGTAGAGGCAGTAGGAAAGAGATACCAGAGAGTTCTTAGTTATCTAGTTATCTAGTCAGTCATTAAACATGTATTAACGTCTTACTGGTGCTAGACCCTATGCTAAAAAAAAGGGGGGGGTAAGGGAAGCACCTACTGTGTGCCAAGTACTGTGATAAGTGCTTTGTCAATGCTGTCTCATTGAATTTGAAGCTAC